TGCTTGAACTATATGTTGAATTCACTAAGTTCAATATTCCCTTTCATCATTCTTTTTGAAGTGTTTATCTTGTGTAAAACCTCTTTAAAGGGCTTGTCAATTAATACAATAATGACGTGTGCCTAAAAATATTGTCTTAATTGACAAGCAGCAATTATAAATGTAAAAGCAATCTTCTCCAACTATTTGTAATTAACTTTCCCATTATGTAATACTTTACTAGTGTAATATACTGGAATCTAGCTTTCGTTTTCCTTTCGAAGAAATACTATAGCAATAGTTTCATTGGATATGGCCAAGTATATACAAAAGGGTTTGTCGAGGACATGGCTGGTGAACAGGGGAAGCGAGCTAAAATATTGATTGAGTTCTTTGAAAGCCTTTGGACACCGATCAGCTCAATTGAATTTGCTGGCACTTTAAAGTATTTTAAAGAAAATTAAGCACTTATTAGCCAATTTAGACATGAATATGTTGATAGCTACTACTCACCTTATGAGTCTTTGTATTTTCTTAGTTATCTTAGGGGATTTAAATCGAAAATGGTTACAACTTTTTTAGGATTTGCCTTAATGCCCTTATTAGAGACAATAAATCCCAAAAACTTTTTTGCCTTCACACTTAAAGTACATTTAACAGGATTTAACTTTATGTTATAGTGGTGCAAAATAGAAAAAGCTTCCACCATATCTTGTATATGCTATTCCAAAAAAGGGATTTTCACCAACATGTCATCTAAGGAGGGGCTTTTCACCTTTAGGGAGCATTCTATCTTTTTTAAAATATTTTATTGACAAGCTGCTTATAAGTAGCTCATGTATTTTTAAGCCCAAAAAGCATGCTATATAACAAAATAGATGATCTTTAGTCATGAAAAATGTTTTCTTTTAGTTTGATTTAGCTAACTTAATATAGTTATTTCTTGAAAAGGTGTTCATGAAACTTAAATAATTATGACCTGTAGAGGAGTCAACTAACCTATCAATAAAAGGCAAAGAAAAATTATCTTAAAGGTAGCTTTATTCAAATTTATAAAATCTACGCACATGTATCATTGCCCATTAGCCTTTTAAACCATTACCATATTGGCTGCCATTCTAGATACTTTACTTCTTTGATATAGCCTGTAGCCAACACTTTATCCACCTCTTCATGAATCGCCTAGATATTAAAGGGCAAAGCACTTTTTCTTTTATTTTATCGACTTAGCTACTAAGTCTATGTTTAAATGATTGGTGATAACACGCTCATCAATGCTTATAATGTTTGCAGTAAACCAGGCAAAAACATCTGCATTCCATTAAAAAATCAATGTAATGTATTTCTGGCTTTAGAGTCCAATAAAGAACTTGTCTAAGTGATAAACTTTGGATTACAAGGATATAATTACACTAGCATAGTTTGCTCGACAAGGTGAGCTTTACACTTTCTCATCTCGTTGCAAGTGTCCAAGCTATCGATACTGAAGGTTTTTGCCAGAGCGAAGTTAATAACATGTACTAACAGTTGGGATATAGGTTGTACTTCAAGTTATTTTTTAGAGGTTGTTGGTGGATCTAGGGTTGTTGCTTCTACTAGTTCCACCCTTTATGTTAATTGCAAGAAAAATATATGGCATTGGTGGATGGTTATCTAATTGGTTCACATGGAGCTTATTTTTGCTAATGTTAGGAACTTAACTTTGAGGCAGTAAATGGTAGTGACCATTTTTATCTTCTTCATCAATGACTTATCAAAGATGACATTATATGTTAAGGGTTGATCTACAATAGAAAGTTTGCCATCATCGTCAATGTATGTTCCCTATCCTTAATGGTGACTAATAGAGTGATAGATTTTTTAACCACAATATGTTGGTTGACGAAACCAAATATGGGCCTTTATGACCTCAAATCATCATCCAAAAATCTAATTTATTTAAAAACTTTATACTGAATAAGGTCCACCACGCTTCCAATATCGACCAAAATCCTTTACACTTAGTAGTTGACGATGGTTGCTGAAATCATGATGGGGTCATTGCCATTATCTACTAGGATATCAATGTTATCTTTAAAAAATGATATCTATCCATAGTTTTTAATTTTTTATGGGCAAAGTCAATAGCCATAATACTATATAGGTATGACTTGTGCTTAAATATATTATTTGTCTAATCTTCCATTACACCTACAATGACGTGGATTATCCCTTAATAGGCGCTTACCAACTATCTTTATATAGTGAGCTTCTTCTTATTGTTAAGAGGGACATTCGCCTTATTGACAACTGGGTGTATTTATTAGTGGATGGGTTAGTAGGTTGTTCTAGCACTAGTCATGGTGAGCAAGTTGACCATTAATTAAGCCATGCAATCTTTCAATCTCCTTCTAAAATGTTATGCACTAATCAGTGGAGTGTTTCCTTTTTTAGTGATAGTTACAATGCTGTTTTGCTAATGGTTAGTTGGTCTTTGGTGTTGGCTTTCGCTATGTTGGTCATTGATTAATATCATTTAGGGTTTTATTTATGGTTTGATAATGGTTAGGCTGTGGTTAGGAGCTTCAACTAGTGCTGTGTTACAAATCTCTTCTTTTGAAAGGCTAGTTATAGGATTGACAATTGTCGTGGAACCGTTGGTTAGGGGTTTCTATCTATTTTTGGTCATTTCGTGGACATTCAGGGTACTATTCATGCTTATCAGCTCTATTTTTAGCTTTGAGTTCCTCGATCTCAACAAATTTTTAGGCTCTCTCATAGAGCTAATATAATTATTCAGGCTTATGCTCGGTGAGCGAATACCTAAGGTGGTCATGTCTTACCCCAAGGTGAACACCAAATTAGCCTATTCCATGTTTAAGTTTTTGATCTCCAAGGTTGCTATGTTAAACCGTTTGAGATATTACTGTAAGGCCTCATTAGGTTTGTACTTCATAGCCAACAAACTTGTAGAGGAGCTTACTACGGCCCTACTACTAAGAAAATGAGCTAAGAACTATCGACTGAAAATGTCAAAACTATTGATAGTTGCAAAGGCCATTGAGAAAAACCATGTGCACATTCTTCCCCATAAAATCATAGGGAAACTCTACATTTATTGCATCTGAAACTTTGTGGAGGTCCATATAGGTTTTAAAATGGTCCAAGTAATATTCAGAGTTGGTGGTTCTATTATAGGTTTTTTTAGAGAGTTTTAAGAAAATGGAGATGTCGACTTGTCTAATTGGGGGGAAAGGAGGTTATGGTCATCTTTTAACTATTGCAAGTCTTCATTCTTTTCTTTTTTAATGCTAACCAATTCTTTGCGTAAAGCAATGACTAGTGTTGCAAGCTCGTTATCAAGGTTAGGATTACTGAAAGCTTGGTTTTATGTTGTGGGCTTATAAGGGTAGGTATCATTTTAGGGAATTTTGGGGTGGCTTTCAACATTTTGGATAAGGGCTTGTAATGGCTCTTGGAAAAAAGAAATAAAGCTTTATTTTGGGCAGGGTATTTCTTATGATGGTTGTTATAGTTTGCTGGTGTGTTAAAGTAACCTTTATTAAGTGGTTACTTAAGCATTTAAAAGTTGGATCTGGGTCATTAATGCATGGTAAAACTCTAGGATAGGTTGTTGTATGTTTGTTTAGTACATGAGGATCTATAGGTTGGAATATAACTTGCATAGTAAATGTGGCAGGGGGTTGCCAATGAGTTGCATTAATTGGCTATGAATATTGCACTTGGAGATAAAAGTCCTATTAGGTTTTGGTAATAGCCCATTGGCTAAGTAGTCCAGCATTTAACAACATTGAATTGCAAAAAAATGGAAGAATGGGATCGTACCATGGTGCTACGAAAGAAGGTTTGGTGATGGGATTTGTGAAGGGGTTGGGCATATAGCCACTGCGTTGGAGGCGATTGCATGTTAGGTGGTTACGTTCATAATTGGTGTTGCTATTTCAAAAGAGTAAGAATGAGATATGACTGTCGTTCCCACAAATGGCATTAATTGTTGATGCTATTTTTAGGTATTGGTTGGAAAAGAAATAGTGTAATGGTCACATGAAGGATAACTAAGACCTACAGCAAGAAAGTACAATCAAGAGATGTTAGAGTTAATTGATAATAAGTTTATGTGAAGCTTGAGAATAAGCCACGTAGATAATTATAGACTACATTTAATGATTCCACGTAAGTGTGCACCACATTTAATGATCTTAAACAACTTAAAAACCCATTAATTTGCTGTGAAGTGATGTCTTGATATAATGTTAATAGAGATAGTTGGGTTAATCCCTTTTTCACAAGGACAAGCTTACTCTGTGGTGAGAAGTTTAAATATCGATCTTCACTTATGATAATGTGATAGTCGAATATGTATTAACTTGACAATCATGAAAATTTGACTTTGTTGACTGATTAAATGAGTTAAAAAAATATTTTTATTTTAATATATTTAAAAATAATTTTCAAATTTATCGAGCTCAATTGGTCATACTCGTGCGATCTTGAATGGACACTGCAGCACCTCTTTTCGTTTTGATAGCTGAAAAAGTGAAAAGTCCGGTAAGTGAAGTGGAGGAACGTGAGGCAAATGGGCCCATCAAAGCGAGTGGGTGTAATATTGGGCGCCCACCTAGTTATGTCAATCGCATTCACACATTCTCTTTCCTCCTTTATCCTTGTCAAATTTTTTTTCCTTCCATCTATTGGATTTGGGTGGTGGAAACTGGAAAACAGCACTTTTCGATAAAAGGTACTGTGGAAATCTCAGTGCCTCAGAGGACTTATCCCTGTCAAAGTCAGGCCAACTTTTTTTTTCCCAACTTGAAGGTTACACAGTCCAGAGATAGACTATGTTAAGACTTCAGATACACAGTTGAGTTTAAAAACTACCATTGATGACAATCGACTTTTGTATCAACTGATATTATCATAAAGTTACGAATTCAAAACAGAATTAAAAGAATTTATGCGCATGATATTAAGTATTATATCTTCATAAAAGTTAATAGCCCAATATGATAAAAAAGGGAAAAACATAGATGCAACATTCTGTTAATTTCAAACTGGAATAATGGAAGAAGACAGAATTATTACTTGAAAACATGTTCAATTCCAAAGCGAGAAACAACTTTATTTTCCTCTCAAATTTGACAAGCACACCAAATTGAATACAAAGAATTAGAAAGCAAAAAAAGCTTGTTGTGTTCATCCAGGGAAATGTAAGGAAAATCAGATTACAAAAGAATACATTGACTGTAGGCAAAACACTAGAGAAGTCAAAATCTCTGGTAGACTATGTACACTGCAATGATAAATACCCCAAAATGGGAAAAAGGAAAAAGTGTTCCCTACTTGATCATGTGATTTTCTCCTCCCCAAAATTTCAATGTGAAAAAAATATTTACTTTACTTGTTAGACCACTGGAATTCTATTTCCAAATTCCGGGATGGCCCGCTTTTACTTTCCGGCAATAAAGTATACTCACCAGCAACTGTTCCAAGCATTACAACCCGATCAATTTGGATTGTAACTTTTCCAAAGGAACTCTGTTGTTGTAAAAAGAACAAAAAGAAGTTTAGAAACAATCAAGGAAACTAAAATGAGTAGAAAATTCTTGAATAACACCCAACCCAACCATCAGAAAACAAAAGACAATAATTCTTTATGATATGCTTACCTTGCCCATTTTGCTCTTATTCTTGCAAGATATGTGCAGCTTCTGCCCTTTTGGAGGACTCTCAAAAGTCCATGCAAAACTTTCGTCCCACTCTGGATTAGGACCAGTTGACACAACCTGATAAGTGACAAATAAGTTAGCATGGCACAAATTAAAGAAGGTGAAGAGAGGTCAAAAAATAACGGGCACAAAATGGTTTGTACTCAGATAAGCACAGAATGTTTTCGAGTGATTTTCAAACCAGCACAAATAGACGGAACACATATTCATCCAATTTGTTTAAGTTCATCCAGCATACAGACCAAAGTTCAGGAGACAACAGTGATTTACATCAAAGTGCTTCCTGACCAAGAAAGCTTCAAGATCTTATAGCTAGAAAAATACCCTTTCATTTTAATCTTAACTCTTAAGAGTTGGTTTAAAGATTTGAACCCAAACATCAGTACAACGTCATGCCATCCATGTACAGGCTGCTGTTTAGAGAACTCCACCTCACCATATACCAGTCATTTTTGCAGAAACCTGTGGCTCAAACACTATGGGAATGTACAGGCTACCCAGAATCTCATGTTACTATTCAACTAATTGTTTAGTTTTATCAAATAATTAGGTGATAACTGATAAATTCAGAAGGAAAACTTCCCTAACTCAAATCACAGTCAGATAAACATGATGGAGAAGGATATGGAAGCATCTTACCTTGGTCTGCCGAGGTGGAGTGTTGCCAAGCGTAAGTTTGCAATAAACACTTGGGTTTCCTACTGATTGCTTCATATTGTTGCCACGCTTGATTATCACCACCAATGTCCCAGGCAAACACTGCAACAGAAATTCTGCCTTCTCCTGAAATCTAGGTGGGCCAGACTGGATTAAGTATTGCAGCAAGGGGATTGAATCTGCAGCAGCAACTGATTGAGCTCTTGAAACTTCAGCTGGGCACGCTGACCAAGCCTGCCTGAGTAGGAAAAGCGCATCCAAAGCAGCTTCTTGAGTTGCCTCAGAACCTGTTTTGAGAGATGTAACCAAATGGGGAATGCTAAGTGTTGCAGGCTCAGTTGCTCTCAAACGTGGGAAGTTGCTAAATAAAGAATTTAGAGATTTTAGATACTCCTCGTTCACAGTTCCAGTGGCCCATAAATCCTTTTCAATAGCAGCTGCAAGATATTGATAGAAGTTACTGTATTACCAATACCATTTTAAACCAGATTGACCAAAGGAAAAACAAGTCAATTTCATAGTACTGCTGATCTTTGAACAATATATGTTGTCTGTCAGTTCTTCCTAACACAAGACTTTGCCCATGAGAAAAAAAACTAAGGTGCACACACACACACAAACTGTGAATATTGCTCAGTAAGGCAATAAATGGGTGCAAAAAACAGACAATTTACCTTCCAGCTCATTTTATTTAGCTGCAGAGCAACAACCATAATGTAAATATATTTTTCAAGGACTATGAAAACAGAAAAAGAATTTACATTTGTAATTATTGCATCCGTAAATTGCATTTTGAGTTCTATAACTCTGTTCACCATTAACGATATGTTGATACCCAAAATCTTTTGAGTGTCCACAACCGCAAGCACCCACAAAAAATGATGATGCAGTCAGAATTGCCAATCAAACAGGAAGAATAAATTGAACTTAGACCCTAACAAGGGCAAACCGTAACCAAAGGATATGCAATATAACCATAAAGTAGGCATGGCGACGGAAACTTTCACAATATATAGACACATTTTTAAGTGATTTCTCCTCATATTAGCCATCCATATAAACTAAAGTCCAACAGAGCTACAGAACTTACCAGTTATGGCTCTGACTGTTTCACTAGAAGCATACTCTTGAATGGTATGGTTAGAAAAAAGAAGTTTAACAAACATTGCAGCCTGAATGGATGTCTCTGGATCACTTGAACCTATTAGATCCAATACAACCTGAACACCACCAGCCTCAGCAACTGCTCTCTTATTTGATCGGCTATACATCACAAGATTTTGCAAAGCACATATGGCAACCACTTTCATTTCTTCTGTTGGTTGGTCTTCAAGCACATTAACAAGAGCCTGACAAGCTGAAACAGCATCAGCACTTCGAGCAAGTGCCTCATTCTGAAAAAGGTCACCAAGAGCCAATGTTGCCAGTAGCCTTGCCTGCTGAGCTTGGGTTTGTGGATCCAAGAGATACTGGGATAGTGGTACGATAGCAGTTTTCGTAGCTTTCGTTTCTCTTATCTTCACATTATTGAGTAATACTTCCAGCAGCCTTGCAGCTGTTTCCTCACACTGATGAGATCTGAGAAGTTCTAGGAGAGCCTCTACGGCACCACTTTCAGCCATCGCTTCAGCACTGGTTCCATCATCACTTTCTAAAACCAGAAGAGCATTCAATGCACCAATCACGGTGCCCTCTGTGCCAGAATGGAGCAACCTTACCAAAACAGCAACAGGTACTTCTAAATAAAATTCAGAACTGAATTGCAGAATGCTAGCTAAAACTGAAGCAGCTGATTCCCATAAAGCATGTGGGAGCGTAGGATCTGCTTGCAATATCACTTTCGACAGCTCACTGACACCACCCTCTTTTGCAATTTCATTTGGCCATATTAGGGCAATGCTAACAAGTGCCTTTACAGCTCTCTGTTGCAAGATATGCATGGCAGAACCAAGAATTCTTATAAGGGGACCGATTACTTGCTTTGTCACTGCATCCTTCTGAAGATGTTCTTCTAAGAGCAGATGTGATAGAAGCTCTGCTGCCAACTGCTGAACAGCTGGAGCTGGAGAATCAAGAAGTGGGATAAGTGGTTCTATAGCTTGGTGAGAGGTCAGTGTATAATCAGCACGACACTGTGGATGCTCCAGAATATTTACAAGGACCTGTAATGCACTATGCTGTCCATCAGGCCCAAATTCTGGTCTTGACAGCAACTGAAAAAGGGGCTCAACCACTTTTGCAGCAGATGGTCCTTTAGCGATAGTAGCATTATTTGTCAGTATTCGGAGCAATTCTGCAAAAGCAGAACATAGGAAATCTGGCACTTCATGAAGGATATCAAGTATGCTTTCAATTACTCCAGCTTTCACCATTTCCATCTTACAACCAGGCCTGTCTTTCCCTAACTTCACAAGAGCTCTTGAGGTAGCTTCATGAAGCATGTAATTCTTACCATACAGAAGGCCAACAAGGGGTATTACAGCACCATGTGCAACAACTAGTTCTGCCAGTTGCTCATCATCCACAAGTTTATCTAATGCACGGACAACTGAATGTTGCGCAAGACTGAACTCAGTTACAAGCAAAGACACTAGAGGCTCAACACAATGAGCTGCAGCCATAGTGGACCTGATTCTTGTATTTGCAAAAAGAACACAACACAACTCAGCAGCATCCCCCTTCAGTTCCGTTGAACAATTTGATGAAAGGATCCTGCAAAGAACATCCACTGCATTCATTTCAACATCTGCAACTGCAAGTGCTCTAGAAGGATTTTCACTCAACAACCTAACTAATGCTGCAATAGCAGCATGCTGTTCTCTCTCCATTCCAGTATTAAGAATCTCAACCAAGGGTTGAACAGCTTGCCGGGCAGTCCCTGCATTTCTGATATGGTCAGCAGAGAATAGGCTTTCCAATGCTTTAGCAGCACTATACCTAGCAGCTCTTCCTCCAAGACGTAAAACTGCTACAAGTTGGCTAACAGCACCAAATGCAGCCTCATGTCTTCGAATTTCAACACTGTTAAATAGGATCCCCAATAGATCAGTAGCAGCTTCCTCAGTTGCATCTTGAGGGCTGAGAGAAAGATACTTAGTCAGCGCTTCCAAAGCCCCTGATTCCACCATAACAATCTTATTTGATGGACAGTCTTTTGCAAGCTGAGTCAGAAGCCCAAGTGCCAGAAAAGGTGCACCAGGACGGTCTGGAATTGGTTTAAGTAGCTCAACAAGGGCAGGTATTGCTTTTCTAGAAGTAGCACCAACCCTAATGTCTTCAACTCTAAATAACCTCTCAAGAGCAACTTGATCTGGGTAGCATACCAAAGCAAACTCTTCGGACAATTCAAGAAGTTCTTGTACATCAACATCAGCACAGCCAAGCAACGAGATAAGTCCACCAGCAGCCCCTGAATTTGCAACAGATAGAAGAGTCCCTCTGCTACCATTACAGACTAAACTGGCCATTGCTTGTGCAGCAAAATATCTGTTTGCAGACACCTCCGACTTCACTAAATTTGCAAGTACTGGTATAGATTTCATTGTTGCATGTGCCCGAATGATATCTCTATCTTGAAATAAGATTGCTAGCAACAATGCACAAATCCATATGCTGTTATCTTCCTTAAAATCAATCTGCAAATTACCACACAGAATGGAAACAGTTCCAGTAAAAGTAGGAGGGAATATAGCCACAATTGCACAATAGGGAAACAGGGAATAATATCAATGCTGTCTCTGAGGAATTTTATATATCTTTAAGCACCATAAGTTCTATTCTTATCAACATTATTTTAAATAAATAATTAGGAAGAGGATTGAATACCTGAGCATATTGGGAAGATCGTTGGGAGATTCGCTCAATGACAACTTCAACTGCTCCAGCCTCCATTATTGCAATTTTACTCTTTTCATCATGACAAGCAAGGACAGAAAGTAGCCATATAGCCAAATTGGCACCAGAAATAACTGCCGTGCCAATATCGGATTCCCCATTCCTGGCTTCTTCTTCAGGATGCCTACATATGCTAATGGCATCCTGATCATAATCTTGTGGATTTGCCAAAGAAGTCTCTTCTGAACCAAGTATTGTAACAAGTGATCGAATTAGATAGGCAGAAGAATTTGATTGATTGAGATCTTCCACCACTCTATGGTGATTAACTTTTGCTGCACATATCAGAAGTGCAGTGCCCCCAATTTTGACCTTCAAGTTTGTGGAACCGATCACCCTTCTAGCAATTGATAATATGCATTCAGAAGCACTGGCAACAGTGTCTCCCAGAATAACAGGTTGATCACAGCAAAGTCGTGACAATATCTCAATAGCTTTATCCTGTAACATGGGTGTTGCATCCACAATAGATGAAACTATTGGAGATATGCTTTTTGGAAATTCAGCTAAAACTGCCCATGCAGGTTTTATTTGACCATTGACCGCTTCTGATCTTGACAGAATAGCAAGTGCATCTAGTGCCTCTCCTGTAGCAACAGATCCACCTTTGGCAGATTCTAGAAAAGAAACTAATGCAAGAACTGTTCCAGTACGGTTCACACAATCAGTTATGGCATAATCGACTTGCCTTGAATGGAGCAGACGTGCTATTGCTGCTGCTGCATGAGTCTTCCCAGAAACAGTTCCTTCACGTAAAACCCTTGTAGAAGGCAGAATAATTTGTTCAGCAATCGCTGTTTCTGATATCTCAGTATCCAAAATAAGATTTGCTAGAGCACATACAGCTTGTTCCATAACTTCAAGAACCGAAGAGTCGGCAAGTGCAACCAAGGGAGACATTGCATCTCGAGCAACAGCAGCCACATCCCGGTTCTCCTTAATTGAAAGAAATATTGCAGCAAGGCAGTGACAGGACTCTACTAAAATGTTTTCAGATTCAACATTTAGCAGCTTCATGACTGACCAAAGAGTTTCTACAGCAATGTTACTTTCACGTAAGTCCTTCCTGGTTTCAAAAATCCCAGCTAAAGCCGATGCTGACTTTGCCTGAGTTTCTTCTTTAGTTGACCTTAATATTTTAATCATGGTCTCAATAGCATCATTTGCAGCACTACCTTCACGTAATATATCATGGAATGGGACCACCGAAAGCATACTTCTTAGAGCATCCAAAACATACACTTTAGATTCAGGTAGATCACTGGTTAATAATGCACTGAGCTGGCTGATAGTAGCTGTATCAGATTTATGAATTAAATGGTTCAAAGTCTTTGCTGCAATTTCTTTCCCATTGGGGCTCCCATTCTTAAGAAGCCATAATAGTGCAGGAACAGCATCAGCACTTTCAACACATGCACGTATATCTTCACTGTGATTACATAAATTCTTGAGGATCAATGCAGAATCTTCCTTGGCCTTCACAGAACCAGTTTCCAGAATTTGAACAAGTGGAGGAATGCCACCAGCAGCAGTAATGGCCCACTTACTTTCATCATTTTCATTAGATAGAAGGCAAAGCAGTGCAACTGCACATTCTTGCTGTTGTTCTGATGAAAGACCAAGAAGTGATATCAACAGCTGAACACCTTCACGGCCTTGAAGAGCACGCCATAGACTTCTTTCATTGTTGCAAAGTGTGAGGAGAGCTCTTATAAGCTCTTCCTGAACTTCATTGGTTGCCATGGTGATCAATCCAACAAGCAACCTTTTCGCATCATAATTAGTAAGTTTGATTGAGAGTATAGTATTTCCATACAAAATGGCTAGGGCTTCTATTGTACGTTCTTGCACAAGGAATGGTAAGTGAGGTTGGAACTGATTAACTAAAGTCTGCTCAATAACCAGAGGATCTGATGCTCTAGTTGATTCTGCTTTGCTGTCATAAATCATTAAAGCTGAAGCCAAAGCCCCTAGTGTGTCAGCAGTCTGAGCAGGCGAAGAACATGACTCTAGGCTTTGACCAAGACTTGAGATGACATATGATAAACCACCAGAAATATTTGCCAAAGCACACATAGCATTCTCCTGCAATGCTTGGGCATACTCACCTTGCATGAATTCTTTTGAAGGCGCTATTGTAGCATTTATTAAAGAAGGAATACCATTGGAATTAGCTATTTCCCGTCTAGCTTCTTTGCACTGGGCAGAAAGAGAATTAAGAGCACCTGCAGCCTCGGCTCTAACAGGGGCTTCATTACCAGGACCTAACAATTTAAGCAATTGTTTTGTCGCTTCAGCAGCCAATACCTTTGAACAAACAGATGCATCCTCTATCATCATACATGCAAGAAGAAAGCATACATTAGCTTGAGTGCTTGACTGTCCAGTCGTGAGCAACTTTACAAGTATATCAACTCCTCTAGCCTGTACTGTAGCTGACCAAAATCCCTCCGTGCTGCTTGAGAGGTTTTTTAATGCTCCAGTCAATAAGTTATCAACCAAGTCTCCTGTCTTCAGCCCATTCTGTAGCAGCTTCCAAAGCACTGGCACAACTCCCTCGGTTGAAAAAATCTTTGATCCAACATGATCCTTGACACCACCTTGTGAAACAGCATAGATGGTCTTAGCTGCTGCAATTTGACCAGCTGCAGAGCTGGACTTAAGGAGACCAAGCAACGGTGGTATGCAGCCCCCAAGTAAGACTTTAACCCTTAGTTCATTCTCCTTGCAAAGTGAGCCTAAAACAGTTGCAGCCTGAATCTTCACTCCAAGTGATCCTGATCGGAGAAGAGACACAAGAACTGGAACTGCCTGAGAGTGAGATCCAACAGCACTAAAAGCATTTTCATGTGTGTCAATGAGTTCTAGCAATTGCCTCAACGAATGCTCTTTCTCTTGTACAGATGAGGAACTCTGCCGCAACTGTTCAATGCACTGTGCAACACTCGCCAATGTCCCATCTGGATCCTCCATGGTACTTGTACGATCCCTACAGGTGATTTAGGGCATAAATTAGTCAAGATCGAATTATAATAGCTAATAATCATAGCATGCAAATTCAGCAAATCACCAAATAATGGGGGAAGATATATTACCATAGTCATCAATGGAGCGGAACCTAAGCAGACACTCTCTATCAGTTATAATTCAGGGGCAACAGGAAAAAAATACAAAGGCCTATGACAGCAAAACAAAAATAGCCAACTAACAAAATAATGAGGCCTATGACAATAGAATCCAAGTCAAAGACACTGAAATACCAAAGAGAAGTCCAAATGTATATTGGGTGGGGAAGCTAGAATGACAACATAGCATATTCTAAGTAAATAGTTAGCTAAACTTTATGCTGCTTGTGGCAAAAAAAAAATTTATGCTGTTGATATACAGCAAATTTCAGACTCTTCTAAGTTTAGTAAGAAGCTCCAAGCCCAAAGTTACTTCTCCAAATTGTTCCCAGCTTTTCTTGGCGCAATGTGCCTCGCGTCCTTGCATAAAATATACATACAATAAAGCTTAGACTAACCTCAAACCCATTTTTATAACTGAATGTGGAGTTGGGGGCTCCGAATCTTGAAGTTTTGCATCCCCATTTTTTTCCTGCAACCATGAGAGACATAGATAGGTAATGATGTCAAAATTTCAAATTTGTTCAATTTATTATAGCTAGACATTCATCCACAGGTAAATGAAGTGGCCATGTGAAAAAAATAAAAACATGCTATATGATGGTTGTAAGAAGCTACACGTAAGAAAGGGTATGGAAAACATAAACAAGAAGGGCATTGCAGAATACAGTTCCAAGGATATTTGGTCAATCACAAAATATTCCCAACCCTGCTGACATTCCAGGGGTTAGAGAAAGTTGAAAGGTTACATATAATATTTCATTTTCTATTTTTCATTTTTTTTTTTTTTTGGGGGGGGGGGGAGATATGGGACTGGGGAGGGGGGTTTTTTGTGGTTTTGGGGACAGCAATACTGGCAATTACCTATCATATTGTAGTCAGAGAAAATCAGAGAATATGCAATGCCATATTGTTGCTTAGCATGTATCTCTAAACTATAACCTCCATGGCAAAAGGCAATATTTCAGAGAAATGAAACCAACTGATAGCATTAATGCATGTGAGTGACACTGTCACCTCACAGTACATTATTTCGAAGAATGTATATTGGAACATCACACATTAGATTTCAGTATAAATGGCTCTAAATAAATTTCTAAAAAAAAAGCTCTTCAACCAATCAAATTTCCAAATCATTCAAATCCTTTTCAGATTTCATAATTATTCAATTGCATTTCCATATTGATGTGTTATCCAAGCTCATAGAAAACAAATTATCTTCTAAAGGGATGCATTTATTTATTACCAATGATTGCAAAATAAGATGTAAACACACCCCATAGCAAATAACCACCTTAAACATAGAAATGGATCATATCAATAAGTTCACAAACCATACCCTCAGTGCTAAATTATCCAAAATTTAAGAATGAAAATAGAAACATACCATATCATTCGCAGAAAGGCCGCTGCCATTGTTGGCAGCGAACCTCCAAGCCAGTGTCGCCGCCAGCTTTGCTTTTTACTGCAAGATTGGCTGAATCTAAAAAAACCTTAGCCCCTCCCCAGATCCAGCCACTACGCGTCGTCAAAACATTAAAATCTCCTGCCAAATAGTAAAAGAGATAAGTTAAATAAGAATCTATATATCAATGAAACCAGATCAAGCAAAAATCATCATAATTCAACAAGGCCTCGATCTCGAAAGAACAATAAACCAACGCATCGTATATTAGTAAACTGAAACTTAAGAAATGAGTAGAGCAATAGATCACATTTCCAACAAACTGATTTTCTATTACTTTCTTTTCTCAGTTTTTTCTCAGGAAACAAACAGAAACTGAATTTAAAAAGTTTCCACTTAAATGAGCTGAATTTTACGAAACTGAAAGTCAGTAGACAGCAGATCGAAGTCCGATTAAAGAAAAAAAAACAAAATTAAGAGTGGAAGTGAATTAGTGAATTGAAAGAAGCGAATTTGAGGAGGCTAGATTTGGAAGAAAAGACAACGGATCATGAATGGCAAACAGCTAAAACAAAAGAGAAAAGGGAAAAAAAAACAAAAGAAAAACAATGTAGATGGAAAGAAAGAGAAAGGGTCAAACCTTTAAGAGAGAGACAGAGAAATGAAGAAGCAGAGTTTTGGATTTAGTCTTTGTTTGAGTGCATCTATCAATTTCGTAGAAGAGAAGACAACAACGAGAAAGTTAATAAAGAGAAAGGAAGAAAGAGAAAAAAAAAATTTTTCGTGTTCCTCTCCTTCTTCGCTTTCTGGTTAGAAAAAGAAAGAGTGAAGGCTGTGGGTTTTTTTCAGTTCACGCATTTTCATAGCCGACGCATTCACAGGACCACCGACAATTGGAAAGCTCTATTTCTCGGCTCAGCTTGGCGGCTTCTTCTGTTCCAGGCTCCGCTTTTCTAACGTTCATATTTGGAGATTTTTCTAAACAAGACGCATATTTATTGGGAAAAAAAAAAGACCAAAATTTTAATCTAGTTTTAATTTAAAAAATTAAAAAGAATGGTTTTGTATGAATGGCATTAAATAAATGGGACATGGGAATTTGTTTACTTTAAAAAATAGAAAAACTTTTGATTATATATCCTATAATTTTTTTGTACAAAAAGATTATAATTTGAAAATATAAAAATATAGATATTGATAATTAAATTTTAAATTTATTAAATATCATTCTTAAAAATAATTATATATATTAAATCCAATCTTATTTTATAATTTCTTTATAATAATTTAATCATATATGTTTTTATTTTATATTTTTAATTTAACAATAAGGAAATTTTAGGTTTTCCTAAATACATCTTTTTTATTGATCCAAATAAGTATGTTATATTTTATTTATTTAAGGATAAAAAATTTTTGAATTTTACCGAGTACATTTTTTTTATCAATCTAAATAAATTTATTTACATTTATTTTCTTATAACCTTTTAAAAGAATTAAATCTAAATAATAAAAATATTTTTTTATTTAAAGACGAGCAATTGATCGATTTGATTAATTTAATTATAAAATTTAAAAATTGATTTAATTAATTTAATTTATAAAAAAAAAAATCTAAGCCAACTGATTTAAGGAGTGAAAACCAAAAAAATCGAACTGGAATAAATCTTTCATTTTTTTTTTTTTTATTTCGGGTTCACATGTACCAAACTCTTTCACCAAATTATACACAGTGAACTCAGCCTATTGAATTCTTCTTAGCTTTAAAATCGCATGAAGATTAAATAATACAGACAATACATTCGAAATTAAACCAAACCCAACATCCCTCTACAAACATTATATGACTTTTCAAAGCAGAAAATTATTTTCATTTTTGTATACTGTAGACAAGGAATAACAATCAATTTGTAAAATAAAAACTTCCTTGGACTGATATTTTCTAGTTTTTCAATAAGCAGAAACAACAAATTAATCAAACATTACACATAAACCCTGTTATGGAAATAGGAAGAAATTTCAAAAATTAACTTAAAAGATCAATCAAGTACCCTCAACAAATAACACCAGCAATTACAGAACCACTACGAGCTGGATCGAAAGAAATTGCAGTTACTCCAAAGCCCCTAGTAGTGGTTGCTATAAATTGTATTATAATTAGGAATATAATCAATCAAGTTTAAATTAATATTTTATTAAATTTGAGTTCGAGCTTGACTTCAAATTCGATGTTCGAAACTCGACTTAAAACTCAATTAAATTTTATTTTTTTAGTTTGAATTCGACTTAAGATAAAAATTAAACTATTTGAACCGCTTAATTAGACTCGATTAACATGTAAATATAAATTCGATTTTTATATTCAACAAAAACTCGATTATATGTATTCAAGTTCGTACTCGAATTTGAGATATTTTATCAATTAAAATAATTAAAATATATTAAAATATAAAAACTCGATTAAGCTCATGAGTTACTTGAATCGAGTATAAGAATACTCAAATTCGACTTTATTGATAAATTTAATCATTCAAACTCAAACTCAATTCAATAATAATTGAGTTGAATTTGAATTTTATTCAAGTTAAATCCAAATAGTTTGGAAATAATATATTATTTACATTTCTAATTATAACCTCAAGACTTACATATGCTGAGAAATTTGAAACTGGAGAGCAATGTTGTAACAACATCATTAAAATCTTGATCTGCTGATTTCTTTCCTTGCTTTACTTTAGAGATCAAATATTTTTGCCAAATAAATAAACTGAGAAGCGTGAGAGGCATGAGGATCAAAATAGGGCTAAAAGGGCAGAAAGACATGAAGAAAAGGCTGAGAGTCTAAGGCAGAGCAGCATGCGGGAGGGAGAGAAGGGAAGAAAATTTAAGGATTCATAACGTAAATGGGTGTTGGGTAAATGGGTGTTTGATTTTTTCATTTCGTTCGGTTTATGAGATGTAAAACCTTAAACCGACCAATTACATTGCCAAAACCGACCTTACAACCGACAAATCTAAAAAACCTAATAAAATCGAATGTGATTTAATTAAATTTTGATTTTTTATCAATTTATTTGGATAAAATCAACTAATGTTCTCCCTTATTTTCTTTTACTTGAGCTATTCATCCGTTACTAAACGAATTTTAAATATTACAATTTAATAGAAAAAACAAGACATCTTGCATCTATTAATAAAGTAAAAGATAAATAAAAAAAGATAGTAAAATGGATTGGAAGTATGAAAAGATTAAAATCTAAGATACCATATTTAATGTATGTAAGATTAAAGATAGAAAAAGATTTCTATTAAAAAATTTACCTTTTTTTTTTTTTAAGTAGATGTATGATTTAAAATTATTATTTTATGACTATAAATATAATTTAATTTTTTTAACTTATATGCAACTTTTTTCAATAAAAAATTTATCTAAATTATGTATTTAAATTTATTTTCTTCTTTAATTTATATCCATTACTTAAATTTTAATATTTTGACTAAGGGTTGACATGTTCTAGGCTGTGCCGCGTGGCATACCATCGTGCCTCCCATTTTTTCTTTTTTCTTTTTAGCCTTTTTTTTTTTTTTTGCGATTTTGCATTTTTTCCTTTTTAGTTTTTTATATTTAATTAATTTTTTAAAAAATATAACAATAAATATTTTTTATGAGAGTCAATTATACCAAATATTTTTTTTCTTATTTTACCTTTCTTTTAATTTTTATAATATTTAATAATATTTTTTATTTTGAATTTTTGTGCTGAATCTATTTGATATTAAAGATATATCACATTTTTTTTACTCTTTCTATTTTTATATATTTAATAAATAATTTTTTTAATTTTTTTATGCTCATTCGATATCAAGACTATGTCACATGTTAAATCATTTGATTTTTTATTTTTTATTTTTTTATTTATATTTTCTATTTTTATATTTAGTAAATGTTTTTAAATATTTTTAAAGATTTTAAATATCATATCCATTTGATATTATTATTAAAAATATGTATTTTTTATTTTTTAATATTTAATATTTTTTAGAAAAAGATATTAGTGGAGGTGCTGTATCACATGCAAATTTTATTTTTTTCTTTATTTAAACTTTTTTAGTTTTTTAAATTAATAATATAAATTTCTTTAAAAAAATTATCATTACTAATCTCACGTAATAACGTAGCTTTTACTCTTTTTTTCGCTAATATCATCTAGGTGTACATAAAAATATTTATATTTATAATTATTTTAATTTTATATTTATATATATTATATTCATAAAATTATTGTTTGACACTTTAATTTAATAAATTAATATTTTAAATGCAATGAAAATGTTCACGTGGTTTTTTTTATGGCATCTTTTTAATTTTTTTGTTTTTATACTTGTTACAATCTTTAATTTTTTTATTTTTATTAAATATATTTTATGAGAATAAGATGTCAATTTAAATATTCACACCCTATTTAATTTTTTTACATTTCATCTCTTTTCTATTAGATAATTTTTATAAAAAATTAAAAATAAAAATGATAAAACAAAATAAAATTTGATGCGCGACAACATACACATATTTCACCTAATAATTATATAAAAATAATATTTTGTACTAGCCGATCAAATAATGATTGACACTTGCCACTTTTACCATTAGCTTAGGTAATTGCTTTTAGCTAAGTTTTAGTAATAAAATAAAAAATATAAAAGTATTTATCATCCAATATTAAAAATAATAATTTCCTTTACTAAAAAAAAAACTAATTCCTTCTTTTTTAGTAATTTTAGGAAAAATATGAGATAATACTATAATCATCTTACTCTATTCATAATTTTAGATAAAAATTTAAATTTATAAAATCATGATTAATTAAATGCATAAATAGATAAATAAACAAGCTGAGAAAAATATTTAAAAAATTGAGGAAAAGAAGTACAAGAAAAGAAAGAAAGCTGCTTCAATTTAGCCAAGCCAAGTGGGAATGCCTCTCTTTTCTCTCTTAGTTGGCTGGAAATTGATATTCACGGTCTTACTAGCTTCTGTTATATTTCTTTCTTTTTTTTCACATTTTTTCAAAAATTTTTAAATAAAATTATTTAATTATTTTTTTCTTAAATTTATTTTCACTTTTAAACTTGTAAAATTGCAAATTTAAAAGTTTATAAAAATTTTGGATTTTATAAATTTGGAAGCTTATCACTACAATAAAAAAATAAATAAAAAAACACATGTGTAATTTTTATTCATCAAATTTTAAATAGGTTTATAATTATTTGAAAAAATATATATTTTTTCATTGCAAACAACAAAAAATTTCAATTGACTAACCGAAATGCCCTTCCTAATTATGGTCCAAAACCAATCTTAACTTCTTAAGTAGCCAAGTTAACTTCCTCATTTAATTAATTAATTAATTAATAATAATAATATTATTATTATTATCACCTCAAATTAAATAGAATAAATTTTATTCAATACTAATAATAAATAAAAAAGTATGATTTTTTTTGGTAAAAAGTGAGACCGTCAAACTTTTTTTAATTTTTTATTAAATAATTTGTGAATAAAAAATAAAAATCCTTTTGGCTTGATGTTTTTTCATAGAAGAATATAATAAAATAGTTTTGTATTGTGTAAATTGTTGATATGTATATATTTAATATATGTAATTACAATTCAGAAATGTACAAAACAATTGGGTATCGAAGAAAAATCCTTACTCTAATTAATTCATCTTAATTAAATTAGGGTCCGATTAATGGATTTTAATAGACATCGCTTAAAGTTAGATAAAATGTTGTTTTAAGAAAAAAAAATCTTACATTTAATGCATTATTTTCATCAAATTTAATAAAACGCAATGCTGTAAATTTTTTTCCCTAAATATCATCTTAAACAGCTCATTAATCAGTATAGTTAAGAATTTTTTAGAAAATATCATTAAGAATGTT